GGAGGAGGAGCAGGAGCAGGAGTAGGAGCAGGAGGAGCAGGAGGAGCAGGAGGGTCGGGGCGGGCCCCGCAGGGGCCACTTGATGACCTCCACGCCCCCTCCGGCCAACAGCTGCATCCCTTGGGGAGTTTCGGGGGCGGCCAAGAGGGGGGTGATGACTAGGGTGGGGTGGATATCATTGCGTGGGCCATGATATTTTCCCAGATTTAATGGCGCCTCTTCTTATTTCATTGCGTCCCTGGCCCCCCCTTGGGCCGCGCACATGCCGCTGGCCATGATTTGCACCCCCCCTCTTGCACCCCCCCCACTCTTGGCCGCTCCCGAAGAGGTGCGCATACTGCTACCCTCGCCTCGTTTTCGCTTTTTGCGCCTCCTGGGAGTCTCTCGTCACCACCGCTGGATTCGCCTCGAAGTTCTGCGTCAGAACGCCCCCCCGGGAGAGTTCCGGGGAGCAGCGGTATATAGGTTTTTTTCTTGGGTTCTCCAGAGTCAAGCAGTGGCGAAGCGTCCAGGCTTGCTTATGGTTAAGTCGGGCCTGTCCCTCTACATGAGGAGTATTCAAACATAGTCTGGGGACGATTGTTTGAATATTTTATTGCTATTTTGCATTTTTTGTTCGTCCAAGCTTTCCCTGTAGGAGGACATGCCCGACCTAAGCCTATGGGCCCACCAAGGAGTACTTTTAGACTTTTTTGTGGTCTGCACGAAATGCGCTTACAGCATTTATGGCTGAGGCTGTCCAGGTTAAACACATCGGTTTTATGGTATAAGAGCATTGTTTGGTCTACAGATCAGTTTCGATTTTCGGGCTCTGAGAACATTTAGTGGTACCCATATCTCGAAGAAGAAAAAACAGTATACACATTAATTTTTGGCGCTCCGCGCGGATTTCTTGGATCTGCGTTGGGCCCCCCCCGGCTTCGCCTCCGGCGCCGCCATTGGCGCGCTCCGCGCGCCAGGGAGGGGGTTTCAGATCCAAGAAATCCGCACGGAGCGCCACAAGTTTCTGCTTATGATGCTTGTTCTTCTTCTAGCTCAGACCCCAGAAGGGGCTCCGATTTGATCCGCGCCGGCGTCGCCGATGCACCGCCGACGTCGCTGATGCCTCGCCGATGCCTCGCCGATGCATCGCCGATGCATCGCCGCTGCGGCGCGATCCTCCGACCCCGTCGGCGCGTACCCCATCCAGGAGGGCTTTGTGGGAGGCCCTCGTCGCCTCCGCCGGGTTCGGCTCGAAATCCTGGGCAAGCCGCGGAGGGAGGAGAAGGGTACCCGCACCTCACCCCCCATCAAGCCTTAAGTCCGGTCTGTCCTATTCAAAGCAGTTTGGGGACTATTTTCTTAGTATTTTCTGGCATCTTTTGAGCATTTCGGGGGTATTTTTTATTTGTCGTCCAACATCCACCTGTAGGGGGACAGGCCCCCCCCCACCCAACCCGAAGGCCCCGATTTGCCTTCCATTTCCACATTGACAGAACACACATGAAGCCCGTACCGCTCCAACCCGAATTTAGGATCTTCGGGTTGAGCTGGGGTGGTCTGGTAGGTAGGTTGGGGCGGTGCCCAGCAGCGGAGACGAGAGAACACCATAAACATAAACTGTTTGACGCTCCGCGCTGGGCCCCCCCCCCAGCGGCGCCTCGCGCGCCGCCCTTTGCGCGCTCCGCGCACCAGGGAGGGGGGTCCAGCGCAGATCCAAGAAATCCGCGCGGAGCGCCAACATATTCATGTTTATTTAGTTTGTTCTTCTTCCACTGCAGGCCGCCTCGGGAAGAAGAGGTACAATCGGACCGAGGCATAACATCGAGGTCAGTTCAGAGAGGGTTTCTTCGTCCTTGTCGGACGCGCTCTTGTGCATCCTGGGGAGGGTATCCTTGAAGGCTTGGTGTGTTTTGGCCAGCGGAGGGTCTCGTGATCTTGAAGGAGGCCCTTCTGGCCCAGCTCCGACTGGCTCTCGGCGCAACCGCTGGATTTCTCCCGAAGTCCTCGGCAGCACGAACCCAGGGAGGGGTCCGGGGAGCAGCGGCGTCGGCCGGTCTCGGCGACGCGCAGAGGGGTCCGTGGGGCCCTCGGCGGGCCCCGGGACCTTCAGAACGAGCAGGTTTCTGGCCAGGAGGCCGTGACCAGATAGCTCTTTGTCACTCCTGGGGGACCCCTCGGCGGGGCCTCAGCAGCGACTCGGGCCGAAAAGCGGGTCCCGGGGAGTGGGTCGAGGTTTCGGGGGGTCGACGTCGTGACAACCATCATGACCCCGGGGAGGGGTTGGTCGGCCACGCGCAGAGGGAGTATAGAGGGAGGGGGAAGGCTTCTTAGAGGCACCCGTACTCCTCAGAAAGCGCGGGCCTCCCAGTAGGTGTAGGGGTCGGCGCTTTCGAAGAAGCGCAGCCTCCTTCCAAGAAGCCTTCCACCCTCCGCCTACTCCAGATCCCTTATTAATCGCCCCCGGGATCTCGATTTTTAAGGCGCCTTTTTTTGTAAGGCGCTCCTTTTGGATTGGAGCTTAGGGTGTCCAGCTTATTAAGGCGCCCCGTCGAAGAGGGGGATCAGGAATATCAGGTCGCATTTGGAGGGGGGTCTGGTTTTTGGGGGGGGGCGATTCATCACGGATTTGGAGTCGCCCCTTGCGCGCGCTGCCAGACAGGGAGGACCCTGGGGCGCGAGGGAAGCGGTGTCCTTGGCGATGCCGAGGGGACCGTGTTCGGTTGTTGACATCTTTTTCCGTTTGCGGCAGAGAGAGGTCAGGAGGGGAAAGAAACACACATACACAATTGATCGTCGACTCCCATGAGAATATGGGAAAGTACGGGAAGTGGGGGTGGGAAGACGAACACCCAGAAAGCATGCGGGAAATATGGGAAATCCGGTGATTCGTGTGTATTATTTGTGTGTCCCTGGGCCCCTTCAAGAGAGAGGGCGGGAACGGCGCCAGAGCCTGGGATCACGACAAGAAAAGGAACACCCAACGCACCGTTGACAGTTGGAACCCATGCCAAGAAACACCCTCTTCCTCCTCCTCCTCCTCCTCCTCCTCCTCCTAACACCCTGCTCGCCTCCAGGGTGCCCCTGGTTTCTTCGGCTTCGAGGGTTTTGCGATGGAGAGCGCGACGTTCCCACCCCACAACATCGGGGGACGTCCTGGGGCCTCAGGGTTTGGTTTCTTGTGGCAAGCTTCTTGTGGCCGGTTCCCTGGTATAGCTCGATGCCCGGGAGGAACAGGAGGGGCCAACTTCTCCGACACCGCTGCAGCAGGTAGGACAGGGAAGGCGGCGCAGAAAGCCCTCGAGTCCTGCCAAAAGTCACGACGGCAGGTGTTGTTGGCCATGTTCGGCCTCTGGGGGCCATGGCTGTGCCTCGGGGCCGTCAACAAAAACGACTCGGGACGAAAACCCGGTCCGGGGAAAGAGGTCGAGGTTTCTGGGGGGCGACGCTCTGCAACAATCACATGACGTCGGGGATCTGCGGGGAGGATGGGGAGGTCCTCCTGCTCCTCCTCCTCCTCCTCCTCCTCCTGCTCCTGCTCCTGCTCCTCCTCCCTCTTCTGCCTCTCTTCCTCCCTCTCCTGCCTATGGTAGTGGCGGTGGATGATCGGCCCGTCAGTCAAGCAGTGGCGAAGCGTCCCGGCGCGCCTACAGGCCCACCAAACAATGTTCTAAGAACCTCTTGTGGTTTGCGCGAAATGTTCGTAGAACATTTTTGGCTGAGCATGTCTTGTTGTCCTTCATCGGGCTTATGTTCTAAGAACGTTTTTTGCTCTGAGAACACCTCTGGGCTCTAAGAACATGTCGTGGTAGGCCTACAGGGATGCCGGGACGGTCGGTCCCTGCTCAAATCAGAAAAGGGAGGAGGAGGAGGAGGACGAGGAGGACGAGGACGAGGAGGAGGAGGAGGAGGAGGGGGAGGAGGAGGAGGAGGAGGAGGGGGAGGAGGAGGAGGAGGAGGAGGAGGAGGAGGAGGAGAGGGGGCCCGTGTCGCCTTTCCCGTGCCTCGTGTGCTCCTCGCCCCGTGGGCCTCCCGTGGGGAGGCCACTCGTCGCCGCGGCCGGATCTGTTCGCCCCTCGAGGCCGAGGGAGAGGCGTGGGAAGGAGCGGTGACGGCGATCAATGGAGAGTCAGGCGATCGCACTCATGGATTCAGGGGGCGTGGATGAGCGACGGGTCCCGTTTCCACGGGGCATCGCGAATTTCCGCCACCGAGCGAGGCGGCACCGGCCGCGTTTTGGGGAGGGCGCGCCTCCCCCGCTCATGGATTTGGCGCTCGCGCGCCAAATCCATGGATCGCTAATCCATGTTTGCGCACACCCGAGGGAGGGAGCATGTTGCCAATGAACTTCCATCTGCCCCAAGCATTTTGAAACATGTCTTGTTCACGTACACGACATGCTATACACATGCGCCAAACGCTGTGAGCATATGCTTATCTCCATGTCAGGATTGTGCGAGCGTGTCCAGTGTCATGGCATCCGCAAGGTCTGGGCACCTTGTGGCTTCCCCAGCAGGGGCGGCGGGCGAGGTGGGCGCCGCGGAGGAGCCCACGGGGCGATGGCATCGGGGCGATGGGGGAGCTCCTCGGAGGCGGAGGCGTCCCGGTCCGCGGCGCTGCAGGGGAGGCAGTCCCGTCGGCTCCTGCTGCGGCGCGGCAGCGGCGACCTCGGACCGCGGCGCGGCAGCCAGGAGAGCGACCTCGTCGGCGACTTCGTGCTCGAGGGCGAGGACCAAGGGCTCCCACGAGGGCGCGAAGTTGTTCGCGCTTCGCGCTTCGCGGTCCTCGTTTCTCCTCCCCCCTCCTCCTCGTCCTCCTTTTCTCCCTCTGGGGGGGCGGCGCGAGAGCGCGAAGTTATTCGCGCTTCGCGCTTCGCAGAGCGCGAAGGCGCGAAGTTGGGAGCCCTAGCTTCTGGAGTGCCGTGCCGAGCTCTGGGATCGGCGCTTGCCCCCCTGGCGCGCTCCGCGCGCCAGACAGGGGCGGCCCAGGAATCAAGCATTCCGCGCGGGCCCCCGACAGTTTATGTGAATGCTTGCGTTCTTCCTCTAATGAGAGGAGTTCTTCGGCGACGAGGCGAAGAAGCAGGCCCTGCACAACGTCTTCGGGATAGGACTGCTGAAGGGCGTGGATGCGTTCCGCGTCTGGAGGAAGGTGTTTGAAGCCCTCAAGGTGGATGGCGAAGTGCATCACACGGATCTCCGGCGGGCGCTCGAAATGGCTGGTTTCCAGAACCTAGACAAGGATTGCATCGAAGCGGCCAAGCAACAGGCGACAAAGTGGTCGACGCTGAGCGTGGCACAGTTCAACGAGTTCGCGATTCACTTCGGGACAGAGTGTGAGAGACTTGAGGGTAATGTGTTCAAGCAGTTTGACACCGACAGCTCAGGGCAGATAAACAGGGGCGAGCTGGAGGGCCTGCTGAAGCACTTCGGTGTCGTCCCCATGCGGCACGTCCTCGACGAGGTGCTGGAAGAGGTCGACAAGGACGGCTCTGGCAACATAGGCCTTGATGAGTTCAGGGAGGTGTTCGCGATCCTCCGCCTGCGTGAGGGCTTCTCACGCAAAGAGTTCCAGTACCTCAACGACCTTTTCAAGAGGTTTGACCTCGATGGCTCCGACAAGATCGACAAGCGAGAGGTGTCACAGCTGCTCGGGTACCTCGGCTACCGCCTGGGCGCAGACGAGCAGGACAATATCTTGCAAGAGGTTGACGCCGTCGGGAGCGGAGAACTGGGTCAGTTCGAGTTTCTGCTCTTCATGCGGAAGTGCCGCCAACGCGAGGCCAGCAAGTTGACAGCTGCGTTCAAATCTTCCGATTCGGAAGCGGATGGGGCATCATGTTTTGGCCAGCTGTTGCAGGTGTTCCACCGCATGGGCTACCAGCCTGACCCCGAAGCCGCGTGGGAGGCGGCCGAGGCTGTGGGCATCTCCAGCAGGGAGGCCAGCCTGGACACCAGCGACCTCTGGCGCGTGCTCACAGAGTGCCGGGCGCGCGAGTGGTTCTCCATCGCCGAGCTGCAGCAGATCGGCCGGGCGTTCGAGGAGGCCGACGCGTGGGGCCGGGGCGAGCTAGGGGTCGCCCAAATCGACAAGGCCCTCCTCGGCCTGGGGCTGTCGCTGAGGTCCGAGCTGCTCCTGCTCCTGGTGGGCAAGGTCGACCTGGACTGCTCCGGGCTGCTGAGCCAGGCGGAGTTCAGGAAGCTCATCCGGCTGCACCAGCTCGGGCAGGATCAGCTGGCGCAGGCCACGTTCCAGGACTTCCTCGACGAGGACGGCTTCGTGCTCAGCGCCTTCGACTCGTGGAGGGCCTTCTCTGCTCTTGGGCTCGTGACCAGGAGGAAAGATAGCGACGTCGCCAGAGTCCGAGCGATGGGCACCCTCGACTGGAGGGCCTTCCAGCAGCAGGCGCGCGCCCTCGAGAAGGAGCAGCAGATGTTCCGCCAGAGGAACTGCGGCTTCTCCGAGCAGGCTTCGACGACAGAAGCAAGCGCATTATCATGCCTCAAGCAGTGGCGTTTCAGCCCAGCAAATAAAGTTCTCAGCGCATATCGCGGTTCTGGCCGAGGTCGTTCTGTTTTCACCCGTCGGGTTTTTGGTCTAAGACTTCTGTTATTGGAGCAGTGCTTGGTTCTTGGAGCATGTCGCCTGAGGCTTGCCTGAATGCTGGGGCTGCTGGCCCCCGCTCAGATACTCTGTCGGAGGTCTGCGCGGACTTCCTCGATCTGCGCTAGAACCCCGTGGCGGCACCTGAGGCGCCGCCCGTGGCGGGCTCCGCGCCCAGGTCTAAGAAATCCGTGCGTGCCTCCGTCAGCTCATGTCCATGCCGTTGTCTTTGTTCCACTAAAGGCTGTGAGTGACCTCGCGATGCGATTTGCGCAGTTCGACACGAACAACGGCGGAACGCTCGAGAAAGGGGACCTCGTCGCCCTCATCGAGAGCATTCTGCCTGGCGTGGCAACCGCGCCCGAGAGCCGGCCGATGCTGATGAGAATGCTAGAGGAGGCTCAAGGGCGTAGTGGCGCCCTCACCGGAAGCGACATGCTCGAGCGTCGCGAAGCTAACGTTGGACTCACATCAGGTCAGATGGGGCTGAGTTTTCCGCAGTTCCTGAAGTTCCTTTCCTTGGTTCGCGTCTATAAGGTAGACCAGCTCGTTCAGAGGGAGGAGAAGGTGATCGAGGAGTGCGGCCTTAGCATATATGATGTACAGCAGTTTCGCGAGCTCTTCCTGGAGAACGCTTCAGGCGACGATTTCATGACAGTGAGTGACCTCTGGACCCTATTCGGGACTATATGCCCCCTTGGCGACAAGAACAAGGCCGAGCTCCAGCAGCACTTCATGGACGTCGTCGGGCCCACCGCGAAGAACTGCGAAGTGACAATCACCTGCGCCGAACTGATGATGCTTTTGGGGAGGCTTCGCGACGCCAACTTCGGAGGCATTCGCGACAGGTTCTCCTCATGAACAGCAGAGAGCCTTGCAGCACTTCAGCACCGGAGCAACTCCGGGAGCTGGCACCAGCTTTGTCACGAACACTCGGTTTGTCTTGCTACTCCTGTTGTTGTTTATCTGCCTGTTTCCAGAGTGCCAGGCTGGAGTCGCATCCGCGACAGATCGGACGATTCAGTTTTCCAGTTCCGTGAACAGTGCTTGAGCAGTTTTTTTAATGGTTGTGTTCTTGTGTTATTGACAGCAGCCTCAGGGGGGCACGCGAAACGCGGCCGCCGAACTGCAGGAGGAGGGGGCAGGGTGGTTGCGAGAGGGGAGGAGGAAGAGCGCCACCGTTATTTTGGTGTCACTGCCATCCCAGCGGAGCTGAAGGTTAGTCAGCGATGGAAGGCGCCATGTACTTTATTGCACTGATCTCGGGGGCCCAGGTGTCTGGTCCACGGCTTTGCAATTCATCAATATGTAGCTGCCTGCGGCAAGCCCCGCCGCCGTGCTAGCTCAACGTTCTGGGTTCCGACTGTTCGAGGGAGGACGGGAGATCGTCACGTATGGCACCTCGTATCTCCAGGATTGCGAAGCCGTGATGATGATGGTGATGATGATGTTGGTGATGATGATGATGGTGGTGATGATGATGATGATCACGACGATGATGATGACGATGAGGATGATGATGACAATGATGATGCTGTTTATGGCGATGATGAGGCTGATGGTGATGATGATGATGATGATGATGCTGATAATAATATGCTGAATTTGACGATGCTGATGCTAATGCTGATGATGATGATCATCATCATGATTATGCTGCTGACGATGATGATGATGATGATGATGATGATGATGATGATGGTAATGCTGCTGCAATTGATGATGATGATGGTGGTGCTGATTCAGCTGGTGATGAGGATGCCGAGTTTGACTACGGTTCCAAGTCTAAGTTCCAAGTTTACGTACGATGATGTTGTTGATATTCATTATGCCGATGATGTTGATGCTGATTCGGAGTCGTGTTCGGACTGATTGATGCTGCTGATTCTAGTCATTATTATGTTTCTACGTACAATGATGATGCTGCCGCGATATGATGCTGGTAATATGCTGATTCGGAATCTGATTCGGAGTTTGATGATGTTTATGATGCTGATGATGATGCTACTGGTGAGGATGAGGATGGTGATGGCGATGATGATGATGGTGATGATGACGATGATGGTGATGGAGCTGATGCTGATTCGTATGATTATGGTGCTGGAGATGATGATGATGCTGATGATGATGATGATGATGTTGATGTTGATGTCGGTGGTGATTGTGATGCTGCTGATGATGCTGCGGATGTCGATGATGATGATGCTACATGTGATGATATTTAGGATGATGCTAATGGTGATTGTGATGCTGATTATGATGATGATGCCGATAACGACGATGACGACTAGTATGCTAATGCTGATGATGATGTTGGTAACGATGATGATGGTGATGCTTCTGATGATGGTCAAGCCGATTGTGTCGAGGATGGCGATCACGTTAATGATGAGTACTGTGACGCTGTTCTTGTCGATGATGCTGATAAAGACGAGGTTGAGGGTGCTGCCGATGCAGGTTATGGCGATGGTGGTAGATGGTGGTGATGATGCTGATGATGGTGATGATCAGGCTAATGATGTCGAGGACTATTTCGGTGATGATGCTGCGGATGACGATGATGATGAGTGTGATGATATTGAGGACGGTTATGGTGGTGATTGCGATGATGATGTCGATGTCGACGATGACGACGATGCTGATGATGCTGATGTTGATGAGAATGGTGAAAACGAAGGTGATGACGATACTTCTGATGATGGTGATGCTGACTGTGACGAGGATGACGGTCATGTTAAGGATGGGTATGGTGACGCTGTTCTTGTCGATGATGTTGAAGGATGGTGTTGAGGGTGTTGCCGAGGAAGGTGATGGTGACGGTGGTGGAGCTGATGATGCTGCAACTGGTGGTGATGGTGATGCTGAGGATGGTGATGATCAGGCTAACGATGTCGATGAATACTTCGGTGATGATGGTTATGATGCTGATGGTGATGAATAGGATGATGACGATGATGCTGATGATGATGATGGTGATGATGATGAGTATGATGATGATGATGATGATGATGCTGGGGATGATGATGATTACGATGACGGTACTTATGCTGCTACTGATGACCAAGCGTTGGAGGAGAAGGAGGACATTCACGAAGAAGACGGCGGGTGCATGTGACAGAGTTCGTCCTCATTCGAGGAGCTCTCGTGGTACTCTTTTGGGCTGCCTCGGTGCTGCCGTGACCTCCTGTGCGGCCGTCTTGGGGCTCCCTTGGGGCCATCTTGGGCCGTCTGGCCATCTTACGTCGTCTTGTGGCTTCTTGGGCCGCCTTACGGCCCGCTTGGCCGTATGGAGGTTGGGGTGCCTGGGGGCCGTCGTGGAGCCGTCTTGGGCAGTCGCGAGACATTCCAAGGCCGTCTGGAGGCCTACGGGAGGCTCTCTTGGGCACCCTCTTCGGGTAGTGTGCGATGCTTCTTCGGCCATGGGATTCCTTGGGCCATCTTGGGCCATCCTGGGTGCCTCGTGGGCAGTGTTGGGTCCATCATACGGACTTATTGGGCCGTCTTGGGGCTGCTTTTGCTCCATATGTGGCCATCTTGAAGCTCCCTTGGGGCCCTCTTGAGCCATGTTGGGGCCCTCTTACGTCGTCTTGGAGCCCTCGTGGGCCGTCTTGGGGCCCTCTTGGCCGTATGGTGGGTTTCTGGGGGTCGTCGCGGAGCTCGCAAGGCCCTCTAAGGCCGTCTTGGGTCCTACGCGAGGCTCTCTTGGGCCGTCTTGGGGCCGTCTTGGATGCCTCTCTGGCAATCGTTGGGGTCCCTTGAGCCATCTTGGGGCCCTCTTGGGGGCCACTGGCCTTCTTGGGGCCATCGTGTAAGGTTCATGGGCCGTCATGAGCTGATGGGCACACCAAAACGGGGAGAACGTGAAACTTACGCAAACATTACTGATTCGCTTGTGGCCATTTTGGACCCTCGGGCTATCTTGGGCCGTATTCGCTGCATCGTTCGCCATCTTCGTGTCCTTAATTGCCCTGCCTTGCCCGTCTTGGAAGCCGGGAACGCGGGCAGACAGATTCGTACGAGGGATCGTGGCGTCAGGAACGCGGGTCCATTTGTTGTCCCAACCCTCTTGCGCGTTGGGTCCTCGTCTTGAATGCGCAGCTCCAGCTCCGCACGTCTCCTCCCTCTCCTGTTCCACCCCCTTCCCCCTTGCTTTTTTCTCCTGCTTCTCTTCCTCCTCGTCCTTTTCGTCAGCACCATCCTTGACGCCATCATCACCATGGTCGGCATCATGTCGTCATCACCATCATCATCATCATCATCATCATCATCATCATCATCATCATCATCATAATCATCATCATCATCATCATCATCATCATTTTCATCATCATCAGCAGCATCATCATCACCGTGGTCGGCATCATGCCGTCATCATCATCATCATCATCATCATCATCATCATCATCACCATCAACACCATCATCATCATCATCATCACCATCATCACCATCACCATCATCAGTATCATTATCGTTATGACCATCACCATCCTCACCACTTTTCCGCCACACTCCTCACACGTCTCGTCCGCACGTCGCCTCTTGTCCATATCGGCGCACCCATCACACTATTCGCGGCCCCCTCAGGAGCTCCATCGAAGGCCCCAGTGGCAGGGTTCACATGCCGCCCCAAACTGCCTCGGTACACCCCTCACACGTTTCGTGGCCCTTTTAGGGAGCTCCACCGAAGGTCCCAGTGGCAGGGCTCACATCCCGCCGCCCCGACCACTTTTTCAGTACATCCTTCAAAAGGTTCATGGCCCCCTAGGGAGCTCCTCCGAAGGCTCCAGTGGCAGGATGATTCACATGCCGCCGCCCCGACCATTTCGGCGCACCCGCACACACTTCGTGGCCCCCCCTGGAGCTCCACCGAAGGCCCAGATGGCGGGGTGCACATGCCGCCGCCCCGATCATTGTGGCACACCCCTCACACATTTCATGGCACCCTTCGGAACCACCGAAGGCCCTGGTGGCAGGGTCGTGGTCCCCTAGGGGAGCTCCATCGAAGGCCCTAGTTGCAGGGGTCGCATACCGCCCCCCGACCATGTCGGTACGCCTCACATGGTTCGTGGCTCCGTTAGGTGCTCCCACGGAAGGCCCCTGTGGCAGGGTTCACATGTTGCCGCCCCGACCATTCCGGCACATCCCTCACACGTGTCGTGGTCCCCTAGGGAGTCCCATTCGAGGCCCCAGTGGCAGGGTTCACATGCCGCCGCCCCGACCATGTCGGCACACCCCTCACACATTCCGTGTCCCCCCAGGGCGCTCCACCGAGGGCCCCGTTGGCAGAGTTCACATGCCGCCGCCCAGTCTATTTCGGCACATCCTCTCACACGTTTCATGGCCCCTAGAGAGGTCCACCGAGGGCCCCACTGGCAGAGTTCACATGCCGCCGCCCAGTCTTTTTCGGCACATCCTCTCACCCGTTCTGTGGTCCCCCTATGGAGCTCCACCGAAGGCCCCAGTGTACTGGCTCACATGCCGCCGCCCCCACAATTTTTCAGTACAACACACGTTTTGTGGTCCCGCTCTAGAGCTCCACCGAGGGCTCCAATGGCAGAGTTCACATGCCGCCGCCCCGACCATTCTGGTACACTCCACTCACACATTTCGTCACCCTCTACGGAGCTCCACGGACGGGTGGCAGGGTTCACATGCCGCCGCCCCGACCATTTCGGCGCATCCCGCACACGTTTCGTGCCTCTTAGAGAGTTCCATCGAAGGCGTCACTGGCGGGATGCACATGCCGCCGCTCCGTTACCTCCACCGAAGGCGCCCGTGGCACGCTTCGCATGCCGCCGTCCACGCGGTTAGGCGCGCCCCTCGCACGCGCTCCGTGGCCCGCCGCCCCCGACCATGTCG